TAATTCCTGTTTTAGTTTCCTAAAACACTGAGCCCAGTTGGGATGGAGGGTGGACTACAATAGGAGGTTTGGGATGTAACCCGGGGTGGAGAACCAATGATCCTCAGAATGTATCCAATGGCAAGAATTCTGGGAACTGTAGTTCCATAGCACCTGGAGGAGGGCCATAGGCTTTCCCACTCATGTGCTACAGTGCCAGACAACAGAGGTGCCATATGGCCAAATGCTTCTTGAATGTAAGATTAATAAACCAAAGCCAGGTGTATCTGTATTATCTATGGGGCTTTAGGTATATGTACATGTATCGCCTTCCCTGCCCCTGGGAAATAAGGAAGTCAGAGATGTTGCCCTGATATGCTATTTTTGCACTTGTTGGAATTGTTTAATTATGCACGGGAAACTTCCCATCATACAAGCAGACTGAAGGCATCTTGGACTCTCAACTTTGATTGGGCTGGCTGATGGGTGAGCTGCAGGCTCTTTCTCACCAGAACTAAAGAACCCAACTACCCTTGATGTCTTTCCTTCTGTTCATGCTCCCCATTGAATTCAAGTCTTCCCATTTGAAGGAGACGAGGCAGATGATACTGAAGGCCCCCAGCACGCATCCTGTCACTGTCTGTTCATCAACACCAATATTGAACATTTAATAATATGCTCTAGGATCCTCTTTGACTACTCCCCCTCCCTCCCTCCCTAGTTTATGCAAGATCTACATTTACCTCTTGCAGAAAGCAGCATAGCAGGACAGAAGCCAAGTTCTTCCTGAAAAAGAACGGCCAGTTTGCAGACTGCTGTAATGATGTTTTGGGAGGCAAGGTTCAGGGGTTGACATGGATATTTTTTTATGCATGACTGCTAGATTACTTTTCCCTTGCCCTCCTAAAGAAATTCCTGGGGCTTTAGGGCTCCAGGATAAAACTCCAGAGTGGCAGCCTTTGGGGACCAGTGGTGAGGAGGAACATGTTGCCTTATTGTTGGCAAAAGCTGGACTACATGAGTCAGAGGGAAACCTCACCACATCCCCAGGGGAAAGACCCAAATCTCTGCCCTCATTTGCTCTGTCTCCTGCTTTCCCTACCATGTGTGTGGGTGGAAGGAAGAAAGCTGGATTTAGAACCCACTCAAAGGCAGAAGCAACTCAGGGTAGCTGTAATTGAAAACAGCTTTCGAGATGAGATGCCAGGAAGCAAATGCAGAAACTTTCAGATGTTCATTGGTAAAGAGAGGTGCCTAAGACTTTTCAAACTTCGAGACACACCAAATTGGGGCCACTCTAAAACATATTCGGGGCCAAGGCCAAAAACATTGGTGTGACTTGACAAAGAGCTCTTTTTAAAATGCACATTACATATATATTGGCTGAATTCAATGCAGTTAATGCATTGAAACACGCCTGATCTGATTTGGATAGTTAATTCAATTTGGAAAACATAATTGATTGGAATGATCTAGTTGATTTAAAAAGCCAAATCCATTAGATATGTGGAAATCATTTAATCAGTTTGGAAGCCTTTGATTTAACAAATGACTTTGATCTGGAAAGTTGGTTTAGAAAGTTGATCTGGTTTGGAGGTGGGAAGCTTTGAGCTGAATGGAGTAATATACACCTAATCATTAAAATGCTTATTCCCAGTGTATCTGGTCATCTTTCACTTCCGTAATATTAAACATGAGAATTTTTTAACAACTTTCAGTGGGACTTTGGAGGATGGCACTGTTAGAAACTGAAGTTGTATCCACACTAACTTGTCAAGGTTTTGAGACCTCCATCCCTGTTTTTTACTACTACTACTACTACTATTATTATTCATTACTTTTAATTGTAACCACTATAGCAAGTTGTGGTTAGGAATCAAATGGAACATCCTCCCCTATTAGTTGGTTGTAAAGGTGACCTCAATTCAAGCCCCAAATAGAAGTCATATGGAAGCTTTAACTCAGTAGTAATTTAAGTTCTCCTAAAGAATCAACACAAAGAATTTATTCTACGTCTACACTATCTGCCAGTGTTTTCAGCTCCTAGAGTGTGCCTTAAAAATTCAGTTTACTCTGCAGCATCATCCTTAATATTTGAGCACACAGGCTGTTTTGTGTGCATCGCCATCCCAGGGAATGAAAACCATTCTAGGATTATGAGTTGCATCCTTTTGTGACTCAAGTGGCGAAGAATCCTTGGCCATCTGCATTTTATGCCATTAACTAGGTGTCCTCTTCTCTGGTACGTTTGTTTAGATAACGCTTCTATAAATAAGTTCTCTGATGTCTTCTGGTTCTCTTCCTGGGCTTCTGCTAAACAAGCGGTGAAAAATTTCTTGTGTCTATATTTGATGGATCACTTGACTGTTATATGTTATGGTGTATCATAGGCAATCTGGCTGAGGAGGTGTAGTTTGGCATTTGCCAATATATGATTGATCAAAGATGTTGTGTGGAACCTAGGACGTAGATAGACAATCTTGGTTGCTTCCTGAGTTTAATAGTATTTGAACACTAGGAATGTTCAGTGAATATCATATACCTGAATGAAAGACTCTGAATAAAACCCAGATGGCTAGGAAAGAACTAAGAGATATATTCTAACCTGCCAACCATGGTTTCCCTGTCCAAAACATCCTGAGAATGCTTGCCTGATTATTTGAAAGTAATTAATCAAAGAACCATAGAGTTTTAAGGAATCGTCCAGTCCAGGGCAAGATCTACCAGAGCATCTCTGACAGATGACAATCTGGCCTCGTTTGAAGACCTCCAGCAAAATCCTTGGGCATAAAGTATCTCTGGCATTTGAAATCCATTTTAAATCAATGGGCATGATAAGCTGATCCATTCATTCAGTGCTGTGTGGCATTAAGGAGCATTTCTCTGGAGAGCTGGTCTTCCAACCCAACTGAAACCACACAACAGGGCCCTACCAAGCTGAGGAGTTCTGCTTCTGACTGCAGGCCGATTTCACAAGAAAAGTGCTGAGCTTCACAAAAAAACCAAAAAAAGGGGGGGGGGAAAGCAAAATAAAATAACATAAAATGGAAACATCGATATTTTAAATGAACAGAGCTTTCCTGAAGCTCAACAGTGGTTTGTTTTGGGTTTCGGTCAAGTTTTTTAGTAGAGGTTTGGGTCAGCTTTTAAAAGCAGTTCTCACTCATCCATTAAGCGACAGGTGAATGGTGCCAAACTCCATTCCTCTCATTTCATTTTCTTCGGTCTTCTTGGGGGTTGAGTAAATCTTGAGGAGAGGCACACTGCAAGGGTTGCAAAAAGCGAGGGGTGCGCCATTGGCCTTGGTGAGTTCCATGGCTGTATAAATTGCAGATGTGGGCAGGATCAGTCCCCTAACTGGGATAGGTATTAAAATCAAAACCAGTCTTCCCTCCCTCCCGCCCCCATCTCACTCCACTGAGACAGACTGCTGAAAATGATACATGTCAAATTGCTGGAATGGATTTCAAATGCCAAAGATAGTTTATGTAAAGTCTTGCACTGTTGTAAAATGTAACACTATCCATTGGCAAGTCTCGGCAAAATTTGGTCCCAGTTTGGATTTTCTTTCCTTTCCTTTCCCCCTCTTATTTTTTTTTTTTTATTTAACAAAACTGAAAAACTTCTTCCAACCCATTAAACTTGATTTATGTTTCGCCCATGGATTCCTTTCTCCCTGAGCTTTTTGGGATTTAAATTAGAGAAATCATGACCTCACTTTTGGCCAATCTAGCCTCTCCGTTCCCCAAATACTTGGACTTTTTATCTGTGTGAATATAAGGAAACTGTTCTTACTTGAAATTCTGTGGAATTCCTTCTCCGTGGTTGCCACCACTTAATTTCAGAATGATCCCCTCAAAAACTCTCTGTTCATCATGTCTGATTCCAGGCCAGGCCTGTCATTGGATCTAATGCATGACTACTTTTAGGGGAACTGATCTGGGGGGATCAGGAGGGAGCAGCAAATTATTATTTAAGGAAACTTGCATTTTTGCTGCTAGAGGGAGAAGCCTGGGGGGCTTTTCTTCCTTAAATGTCAAAATAACTCCATCTATCTTGGATTGTATGCACTTCAGCCTGAAGTCAAGGTTTGTGGCTTCTCCTCTTCAGCAAAATGTCTTAGAGCTCTGTAGAAGGGGGAACACACATGGTTAGAAACTGAGATTCTTTTCTGCTGATAGATCCCTCTTCTCTCAGAAACCTTCGAGGGGCAGCTGTCAGGATTTAGGTCAAGGGTGGCGATCTGAGCACCCTCAAGGTCTTGCTTGAGCTATAATTTTGAAATGCCAGTAGATCCAGTAGCGAGGGATACTAGAAGCTATTGTTCCTCTGCTGTCCTAAGCTTCTTTGAAATTTAGGGAGTTATCCACCAAGTTTGCTGAAAAGCTTGAAGCGTGGTATCTCTTTGGACTGTGTTTGCAGAAAAATGACAGCACATTAATGGGCCCGTATGTTTTAGTTCCAAATGTAAGACTGGTTCTTATCAAGATGGGTAGAGATTTCAGCAACATTAAATGCCTGAAAAGTCATTCATGCTTTGCTTCCATGAAATACTATTTTATGTAGGATTCTTTGAAGGCATTGTCCCTTCGATCTTTGCCAGTACTGTGGCTTGTATGGCCCAGGTCTCCTTAGGGTGGCCCACGAAACACACAATCTTCCATTTTTTGCTGCCTACATAAACTCTTTGGGCTGGTTTTGAAAACACTGGACTAAAATGGGGTTGGGTGGTTTATGGATTGTGGGAACCCAGCTGTCATTTTTGCTTGTTGTCTAAAGCAAACTATCCCACTGAAGATATTCCATGGTTTATTTGTTGGGGCACTGTATGTGAGGTGAACACTATCACTACATTTTGTTAACCTGGGTTTGGAGTTCAGGATACTGAGTGTGTGTTTATGCAAGCACGTATGCCAACAGATGAATTGTGCCCATCTGAAAAGACCACAAGTTGCGTGGACTTTACCTAAACTTTCCCCCCCTCAAACTGTAGTTGGACTCCATGTTCTTCTTTTTGACAGATGTGCCGGACCAAGGAGTACGACTTCAGTGATGCCATGACCCAATACGCGTGGTACCCCTGCACTGCCAACCACACTCACACTGTTTTCTGGCTAAAGGTAAGTGCAATGCAATGAGGTAAAGTAACAAAGTTAAAAAAGAAATGGAAACAGCTCCGTTCACTGGAGTTTTGTCACCTTTCAAGGATAGGTGCTAGCCTGCCACATTGCCTTTAGCGATCTTGTAATTCGGTGGGCCTTTTCTGATGGAATTTTGAAGATATGCCGGTGGTGACCCCATAATGGCCTTTCCTGGTAGATAGAGAAGGCTAACAAGAGGATACCCTGCAGATCCCTCTAGTTTCCTAGGATGACCACTTTCTTTAGTTTCCCTGGCTATGCAGGCACGGCCCCCAACAAAGTCCTGGGCTATAGGTACGTTCTTCTTGCTTGTTTCTTTCCAAGAACAACTTTCAGTCCTTCATGGGACCCAGAGGCATTCTTGGAAATAATCAGGATGTAGGAGGCTTGTTCTTGGCTGTGCCGTCGGTGGGATTCCCATTCTGTGTATTTGTTAAAATATATATTGAAATAATTGCTTTCTTTAAAAAGTTACAATAAAAGTAAGGCAGATCAGGAAACCTGATGGGTTCAAATACAGCATTTCAAAGGACAGGATTCCCAAAAGTAGAAATCTAATTGACCATTTGTAGTTCTTCTCCGAATGAGCATCAAGTTCAGGTAGATCTTTCTTGGACGCTTACTATATCAGATTCTGTCTTGCCTAGTTGAGGATTGGGGGGGCAACCTGTTGGGTCTCCAGATGCCTCTCAGTATCCTTCACTGTTGGGTGTGAGATTAAGGTTGCTAAGAATTTTAGTTCAATATCTGGAGGGTCACCAAGACTGGTAGTATCTCTCTATTGGTTCAAGGTCTGTCCCATCTCATCAGTTTCTTTCCAGAGATTGTAATTCGGGTCTTCAACAGGAAAAGTGACAGGTCCTGGAGAAGTTTCCAGTCTGGGCCATTCATGGTTTTGTTTAAGTAAGAACTGATCCAGACTTCTGAGTTCCCCACTTTCTCTACACAGGCTTTTTATTCCCAACCCATGGTGGCTGCTGCAGTGATCATCCACTTGGTAACTGATGGGACATGGTTGCAGATGGACCTCGATCAGAAACAAGAGTCCATTTTTGTGCAGCTGGTAGACACTAAAAACCAAAGTCATGATCTCGGTGAGAAAGGTGGCTCTCTTATAAAATAAAATAAAACTCATATTGCTTTCTGTGCTTCCCCTTGGGGCAGGCCAGGCAACAGGAAGAAATTATTTAATTGTTTTTAAAAGGGTTGCCTTAGACCCACACAAGTCAGCAGCAGATTCTGCAGCAGGAGCTTAATGGAGCAGATTCTGTAGGCTGTTCCATCAGCTAATTGGGATGGGGAAACAATTAACATATTTTATTGATTATTTGTATATTTATATGTATTTATTGTTGCTTCTAACCTAGGGACTCATTAGCACTAAGCTAAGCTAACAGCCCTGGACTCCCACTGGTGACGCTTAATACAATGCTGTTACCCAGCCAAGCTTGTGGCTCAAATCTCCTGCAAGGTTAACTTAGAATCCTATTCAATAAAGATCCTATCCATTTCTAAATAGAGGCTTCACCAATCCGCAGATCATTTCCTCTTCAGAATGGCTTCTTAGGTCAGGACTTTGCTCTCTGTTGGAAATATGCTTGAATTGCTGGTTTCTTTGATGTGAGGTGTCTTGACAAGGGTTTGGAGGATACGTTAATGTTAAGTGAATTGGTCTGAAGGCAATCCATTGAAGGAAACGATGGATCCCATTCCTTAAAAAAGAAGAAAAGTTTCTAAGCAGTAACCTCTGCAATGTGGGATAAGTTACGGGAACCCACTACCAACTTCCTGCATGCCATCTCACTTTCTTTGGGAGGAAGTTCCTCTCTGAGTCTCATCGGGAACATGTTTGGTGGTACAAGTGGCTGGAAGCTATGGAAGGAGGCAGGGAAATACCTCTGGCATTAACACTGCGATGGGGCTATGCTGCTGCTTTCCATTAGCTTCTTCTGCCCAATTACTGACCCTTTTAATCTTTTTGTCCTTCTCATTCCCACCATCCCTGGCCCCACTCTCATTTTCCCTCCCAACACAGGGGAGCATGGTTTGAGCTGCCGAAAGAATCCTTTGATTGTCCCTGTTGTCCATGACCTTAGCCAGCATTTCTACCACACCCAGGCAATTCTCATCACCTTCAGATCTCAGTATGTGGCTATCTCTGGGGTGGCCTTGCGCTCCTTCCACAATTTTGACCCCATCACCGTCAGCAGCTGCCAGAGTGGACAGACCTATAGCCTGGCTGAACAGAGGTGAGTCTCTTCTGGTCCTTTACCACTCATTAGTTTCCAACTTCAGAAGGCCTGATCAAGAGGATCATAAGGACTAAGAGGGGAAAGGGTGAATGACCCTTCACATTGTTGGCAGAAGCCATGTGGCTCTCACTGAATGCAAACAGGCTGGGCCATTTAACCCACATGGGAGAAGGTCCATAGATTATTTCCACCTCTTTTGACCTCTTTCTATGACCTCAGTCCAACCTGCACAATTCCAATGTTGGAATTAAATTAGCAGTTCAAGAATATAGCCCTTCCCACTGTGAAAGAGTGAAAGATCTTTGTCATTTCAGTTTTGTTCTTCTCGGGACAAAGTGCTTTTTGGTTTTTAGTTGATCTTTACATCAGTCCTGAGAGGAAAACGTTGTGTGGTGGGAAGCAGAGAAGAACAAATGAGTCCTGGTTTTAAATTCTGCATTAATTGCAAACGCCTACTGGGTGGCCATGGATTAGAAAGGTGCTGAAATCTTGATTTTCATGTCCTGAAAGAAACTTATTTTTCCTGCTTCATTTTCAGGATGGATTAGAATTTCCTTCCTTCCTTCCTTCCTTCCTTCCTTCCTTCCTTCCTTCCTTCCTTCCTT